CCCCACTCGGGCGCTCCTCTTGCTAAGACAGGGCACTCCTACTGACAGACGTGTAACCATTCACTTTGGTTTTAAGATGTTCTTTTTTATAGCAAGTGTATTATGTGTCTGCAGCTTAGCTGCTCTTAGTATAACACTGCTATTCAAACAAATAAATCTCACTAAGCCAAGGAGAATGTGGTAAAGGATATCCAATTATTTTACCTTTCTTTTCTTGGGGAGGAAAAGGGGGTGGTCAGGTCTCTGTCTTTCCAAGTGTATTGTACAAATCATTTTAACCTGTGTTTAATGTTTTGCTTTTCCTATTATGTTTTTTTTTCTAAGTTTTTTTATTTCATCTTAGAGAGAGAGAGAGAGAGAGAGAGCGCACATGTGCATGGGAGGGGCAGAGAGAGAGGGAAAGAGAGAGAGCATCCCAAGCAGCCTCCATGCTATCAGCACAGAGACTGATGCGGGGCACGGACTCACGAACTGTAAGATCATGACCAAGAATCAGATACTTAACCAACTGAGCCACCCAGGCGCCCCTCTTATTAAGATTTATTTTATTTTTTATTAAAAAAATTCTTTTTAATGTTTACTTATTTTTGAGAGAGAGAGGGAGAGAGAGAGAGAGCAAGAGACAGAATCTGAAACAGGCTCCAGCCTCTGAGCTGTCAGCACAGAGCCTGATATGGGGCTCAAACTCATGAACCATGAGATCATGACCCGAGCTGGAGTCAGACCTTTAACTAACTGAGCCACCCAGGTGCCCCTAAATTTGTTTTAGGTTCTTTAGTTTTATCTGATTCTAACCTCTGTAACTAGCCCCTCTAAGGAACCTGTGGTCACAGCTTTATGTTTTGTTTTTGTCACCTTCTTAGTCTGTTTGTAGTATCTGCTACTGAGTTTGTACTAGCTGATGGAGGTGGTGGTGAATATTTCCTTTCTTTCATTAATTAACTTCTCTTTTCGGAGACTCCTAGAATAATGTGGCCTGGTGGTAGTGTCTTTTTATGGTGTTTTCCATTGCCGTTTTACTTTGAGCAAGATGCTTCTTCATTCTGAGCTTCTTGGCCCTCAGTTTCGAAAATGGAACTATATCAGAGGTGACATCTATTCTCTGAGCTAGTCAAAAACAAAGAAGTGAGTTTAAAATTTGTCTCAGGAGGCTAAAAGAAAATTTCTTTTTAGACAAGGCAATCTATTTAACTATAATAAGTATTAAAGCGATGTATTTTATTGTTTAAACAATATCTGTTTAAAACAGTATAACATTCTCTTGCAGTTTGGCCTGTTGGAAATTCAAATTGGCCAGTAAACTTTAAAGTGACTGATTCTGGTATATTTTAATTCCTCAAATACCTTATTTTATTTTTTTTTAAATAACTTTCAAATATAACTGGCAAACTATGTGTAGGAGTGACTGCAAATGAGGAAACTTACATTTTATTCTTCACTTAAAATCTTCATATTTAAGATTTCATGATTAATTACAAAGGAGCCTGAAATTTTCCAAAAGTTTCTGTAGTTGGGAAGGCATTTTAAACCTTCTATTTATTTTAACACATAATATTTTTCATAGCATGGCTTGGTCTACAATTACCATTCATGGAGTGTTTATGGCTGTGACCGAGGACCTGAAGGGGCTGCCTGATTGCCCAGTGTATGTGTGCTCTCCCGTCTCCTTCCCACAGCTCACCACCTTGCCAAGTGAAGCTTGCTCAGTAAATGCAAGGTCATTTTAATATAAGCCTCAGTAAAACATAATCACTTTAAGTATTAAAAAGAATAATACACATCTCTTTCTGGTCATTTGTATCAGCATCGCTTTATACAACCTGTGTGCTCAGGAGGTGGTTACATTCCTGGTTGAAAAAGCCCACTCAAATCTTTGTTCGTATGTTAAAAAAAAAAAAAAGTGGGGATCCTAAAAGTCCAATTGTGTGGTTGCTCTAGAATTATTGGAAAACATAAAAGAGCAATATAAAATACAAACCTATATACATATTTTTAAAAAGCAGTAAATGGAAATTAGATTTTTTTTGGCAGAGTGGAAAGTAGGGGAGATTTTAATCATTACTCATCCCATTTTTGCAGCAACTGTATCTCATCAGGTCTAAGATGCTGTTGATTGTAAGATGCATCCCAATTTCAGTGACACTGAAGTATTTTAAAAATGTGATTGTAGAATGGATGAAATGTGGTAAATGCAGACTCTCTGCCCCAGGACCTCTGGAAAACATATTCCGTGTAGAGTAAAAGTATGTGCTGGGTCTGTGTTAGCTCCTTTCAGTTTGTGTATAATGAAGTAAATTTTGATCTTTTACAAACAAATTGACACTAAGATGACCTTAATATGTATCGAGAATATTCTAGTGAGGCCCAATGGTTCAAACTGACTGTGAGAATGTAGTAGTCTAATTTAGGGTTAGAGAATATTCATGTTTGAAAATGGAATAATAAGAAGTAACATGACCTTTTGTCTAAAATATCCCCCAGATGTACCTCTTCTGTTTTGAAGTCTCACTGAAGATGAATTACAAAAATCCTTATCAGTGGAACTAGCTTGAGTGTCAACTAAATGTAAAGACCTGCAGGGAATTAATATGAATAAAATGTGCCACAAACTCAGAGAGACCTTTGAGTGACTGAAGATTCTCATTATCTAGGAAACTTTCTTTATTTGCTACCTGATTCCTTTGCTCAACTCATATTTTAAATCTATTTTTCCCCCGTGTGGTCTGTAGAGATAGAAACTCATTTATGGTAATCTGAGGAAAAGAATAAATCTGATTGAGGTTCTGGGTAGCCAACTTCTCCTTTTTTAAATGAATTGTGTGAACCTGACTCTAGCATAGAATCTGGTGATGGAGACCATGAAAGCCCAGATATTAACTTCCTTGCGACATAGATTGACTCTGGCCTTGTGCAGTGTCAATGAAATGCATCTGGAGCAAGGACAAAATAGGCTAAAGACTGAGGGAAATGTGGATTCTCTGGGGCCACACTGATGTGGGTTTCTGGCCTAGTCTTATGGGCTAGGAAGTTGAGGTACAGCTCCAGGTAGTAACTGAGACATTTTGCATTTTAGTCTGCTTTCCAGACCATTTTGCAATAGAAGATTTAGCTCAGTTTCCTATCACGGCCATATATCCTATGCCTTTCTAGAAGATAACATTCATATAAACAACATACAAAGATGACAAGTACATTTGCAATTATTCCTATACACCAGTGTGGCTAGTGCATCTATTATTAGGCTGCTTTCATGTTAAGATTTTCATTATTATGACATTTCAGTTTGGCATTTTAAATTTTCATCTCTGTCCCTTTTCATCTGTTCTATTTCAGGGACTCAGATGTCCCACATCAGAACTGTGTTAGACATGGAGGGGGGGGGGG